TCAGTACCGCCAAAAAAAAAAAAAAAAAAAAAAGATTCTAAGACTCCTGAGGGATGGGTCTCTAGGCATGCCCTACCACTCCTGCCTGGATTGTCTTTAGCATAAATACAGAGAATAATTAGAAATACTATTTTTTTCTTTTTTAAAATGTATTTGGTATAGAGTCTTACAATGTAGCTCAGACTTGTAGTGATCCTCCTGTTTTCAGCCTCCTCAGCACTGGGATTATAGGTGTGTGCCACCATACCTGGTCTTAGTAGCTGGCTCAGCATGCTCAGGGATGGGATTGGTACAGCATGTGGTGCTGGGGATCGAATCCTGGTCCCTGTGCTTTCCTAAAGGGACGCTTATTCCACTGAGCTATCTCACCAGCCCTTCTTTCTATGTTTTAGACTTTAGGTAAGGAGTGTCTTGGAAACAGGGAAATTAACTCAGCTGTGGTGTCCATGGAAACCAAAAGAGTCATTTGAATGTACATTGTGCCATACTGTACTATACCAGATTTTTTTTTTGATTTTTTTTTTGTATACCAGATTTTTACAGACAAATTAATTTGAGAAACAACTATTTAATGACCTTAATGTGGCATTTTAAAAAATGGACATACAGTATAGTGATACAAAAGTAGAAAAGAAGAAGAAAAAAATAGAATGAATTTACAAGAGGAAAACTTAGTTAACATTAAAGACCAGCAGCCAGGCATGGTGATGCATACCTGTCATCCTAGCACCTGAGAGGCTGAGGTAGGAAGATTGTTGAGAGTTCAAGGTCAGCTTGGGCTACATATAGTAGCCTGAACTATAGCAAGGCCCTGTCTAATAATAAAACAAAGACCAGCAGAGTTAAGTATTACCCTTAGCCTAAGGCCAGGTCATGATACAAGTAAATTAAACATAGTTTTTTAAAATTACCTTTCTGATTTGCATCATGGAAAGTTTTGTATGTATAAAGGCAGTCTTGTTTTTTTTTTTTTTAATTATTTATTTATTTTTATTACATTTATTTATTGTGTGTGTGTGTGGCCAGCTCAGCCCACCAGAGGGCAGGACTGGCTGGCATGTGGTGCTGGGGGATTGAACCGCGGTCCCTGTGCTTTGCCAAGCCTGTTTCAAGCAGGTGCTTTAGACCACTGAGCCATCTCTCCAGCCCAAAGGCAGTCTTGTAAACGTGAATCTTAGAAATTCATCGTTAACCTCAGTGGCATAAGCATCTTCCTGGCAAGTGCAAGGTCTTGAGTTCAGTTCCTAGTATAAAAAAAAAAAAAAAAGTTAAAATTAGAAGTAAATTTCTTGAAATTCTATTTCTTTTTTTTTTGGGTTTTTTTGGGTTTTTTTGGTGGAACCGGGGATTGAACTCAGGTCCTTGCGCTTGGCAGGCAAGTGCTTATTGTACTGAGCCATCTCCCCGGCCCCCTTGAAATTCTATTTCAAGGCATTGCATTTTGTTCAAAGTTAGGGAATCATGTTGTGTCAGAGCGGGGACACACTTAGGACTCGTCAGAACATCAGCCAGCTGCCGGCTGTGGAACACTGGCTCTAGGTGCCCTATGCGCATTAGGGACAAGTTTTACAGAATCACACAAAGTAGGCAGGGATGGGAAAGCTGGACTCAGAAGAGTGAGATGATCTGCTCAGATTCGCGGCGCTTCCTCTTTCTTTCTGTCTCTTTTTTTTCTTTCTTCCTGGCACTAGGGGGTTAAACCTGAGGCTTTGCAATAACCTACATGTCCAGTGCTTCTATTATTATTACCATTTAAATTTTTTTTCCTGACAGGGCCTCATTATGTAATTCAGGCTGGCCTTGAACTCACTGTTTTATTTTTTATGTTCAGACACAGTTACTAAACTGCCCGGCGGGACTTGAACTTGTGATACTTCTGCCTCACCCTCCCAAGATGCAATCAATTTGCCTCTTTTTTTTTTTTTTTGTATCAGGGATTGAACTCAGGACCTTGTGCTTGCCAACCAGGCACTTAAGCCACTGAGCTGTCTCCCCAGCCCTGCCTCTTTTTAAAAAATCCTGTTTCAGAAAGATGACCATCTGGCAGGCATGATCATCCATGCCTTTAATTCCAGCATTCAGGAGGCTAAGGCAGGAGGATCACTGGGATTTCAAGAGCAGCCTAAGCTACATAGCAAGACCCTGTGGAAAGAAAGAAAGAAAGAAAGAAAGAAAGAAAGAAAGAAAGAAAGAAAGAAAGAAAGAAAGAGAAAGAAAGACCCAGATGAAGCCATTTAAGAGGAGAGACAGTCTTGAGGTAAGCATAACACTGCTAGAGGTGAAAGCCTCTTGCAAGGAGTTAGTGTACAAGACAAGTGAACTAAGTATAGCAGCTGTTACTGTGATGCCAGAAATGCACTGGACATCCTACCAGGCATCTCAACCTCATGGATCTTAATTACTGACTTTATAAATACTGAACCCACCTGGCAAGTGTTTAAGACCAAAGGAGGAACTCAGTGGTGGAGTATATCCTGAGGCCATGGGTTTATCCCCAACACTGCAAAAGAGAAACAACCAGAAACCCAATAAACAATTAGCCAGCAATATGCACCATCATGTACTATCACCAGCATAATTTTCTTTCTCTTGTGGTATTCATGTTTAATATTAAGATACTTTTTTCTTTTAAAGAGACATGAGGACCGGGGAGATGGCTCAGTGGAGTAAGCGCTTCCCTGGCAAGCAGAAGGACCTGAGTTCAATCCCCGGTTCCACAAAAAAAAAAAAAAAAAAAAAGATAAGAGACATGAGGAGGGCCGGCCAATGAGCTCAGTGGATTAAAGTGCCTGCTTAGGCAGATGCAGCAGTGGGCCAGGTTCGATCCCTGGCATGCTGTGCTGGCCTCGCCCCCCGGGGGCACACTGAGACAGCAGTTGAGACGGGGCATGGTGGCGCATGCCTGTAATCCCAGCTCTTTGAGAGGCTCAACACAGGAGAATCATTATGAGTCCGACCTATGTAGTGAGACCCTGCAGACCCTGTAGACCCTTACTAAAATACAAAAAAAAAAAAAAAAAAAAAAAAGAGAGAGACATGAGGGTTTATTAGAGGGCAATTTTCAACACACTCGAGTGGAGTGCAGATGCTCAGGGAAATGAGCCACGACACAGTTGGAGACCACATCTTTTATGTATTTTGGGGGGTAGTATGGAATTACGATTAAATTCTTTGTACAGTGTTGGTATAAAAACAAAAACAAGAAACAAATCTTTAAGAGGAGTGTAGGCCTTTATTTAGGAAGAAAAAGAATTCACATAAGTGAATCATCCATAAATTGACATAGAATTGCTTAGTGCTTTCCTTTAACCTTTAGTTTTAATTTGGTTTAACCTTTAGTTTCAGCCTTAGCTATGCCTTCCAGTGACTCTAATGACAGGAAAGCTGTAAATGGATTTGAGTTAAATTCTTGCAAGAAGTGAGTATGTGCCATAGAAAAGCTGTTTCTTCAATATAAAGGGTGAAAGAGCAAATTAAAGACTATTCTTTAATAACCAAATGTAATTAAAAGGCATTGTCAGATTTATGTGTTAGTACCTCAGAGGCATTGGTATTGCCTATTTCTGAAATGAGATCACTGATTCAAGAAAAAATATATATATGGAAAATTTCCCTAACCTACTTTTAATTTTGGTGTTATGATATAATTTATGATGAATAAAATAGAAATATATCTCCTAGGGATTTGTAAACACACTAAAGGTTTTGTCACAAAGCTTCAGGCAGCATTATTTTTTCTATAATCATTTAGAAAATGACAATATTTGTTAAGTCCCTTGGAGTGTTCTCAGTGTTACAAATCAGAGCCCCCACCACAATCTGATTTATTTTTTCTCCTGGGCCATCAGTTCATCCCTGACCAACCTGGTTTCTCCTTATAGAGGGGCCTGTGGTACTTGCCAGGTCCATATTCCTGTAGCGCCTCAGCTCTTCCCTTTGTGGAGAATGAGTGGAGAGGAGTGACTGAGAGGTGATCTCCGTGAGCTGCTAGCTGCTGGCCTCGAGATGGCAGCGGCTTGGCTGGGCTGGTGGCCCACAGTTACAATTCTGTTTGTTTATTAGTTTGGAGACAAGGTCTTTGTGGTTCAGGCTGGGCTTGAGTTCACTATGTAGCCTTGAACTCACAGCAGCCTCCTACTTCAGCCTCCAGAGTACTGGGAATACAGGCATGCACCACCATGCCTGGCCCACATGTACATTTTTTTTTTTTTAATTTATGTATTTGGTACAGGGTCTCACTACACAGCTCAGACTCCTAGTGATCGTTCTGTTCTCAGCCTTTCCAGAACTGGGATTACAGGCATGCCTCACCATACCTGGACCCTGTAGCAAGCTCAGTGCACCCGGGGGTGGGGCCGGCATAGCCTGTGGTCCTGGGATAGAACCCCAGTCCCACTTGCCTAAACAGGCGCTTTGTCGGCTGAGCTATCTCACCAGCCCTCAAATTTACAATTCTAAGAGCAAGGCTATTATAATGCCCTGGGTCACCCAGCCCAAGTCCCTGATCCAGCTTTTCTTTCCCTATCCTCATCCCTGAAGCACTAATGACGTAACAGTGAGAGGTTGGTAACATGTGGAGGCTTCAGTGATTTCTTTCTTTCTTTTTCTTTTTTTCATTTCTTTTCTTTTTTTTTTTTTTTTGATACATTTCTTATTTAGGAATTTTACTCTGAATGCATCTTAAGAAAATTATAGAGGATAGAATAATGATGCTTCATGTCAACAAAAAGTGGTATCGGTTTTAAGAAATACAACTCTAGATTGAAAGTAGCAATAACAGCTTCTGCTGTCTTCCTCTGACCTTGAAAAAGACGTAACTTCTCTGCATGTCTCTTGTCTTGATCTTGGGAGATACATGTTTCCTAGTGGCGTGTAGAGAGGATAACCTACGTGAAGTACTCCAAAGCCTTAAATCATTAAAATGCAATGTTGCCCTTATGGTAAAGGGGGAAGGAAGAAGAGACAGATCTTCATGTTTTTCCTTAATTTCATCTTTCCAGATGCCGGCGGGGCCTCTCGCATGCCCTCTGTTCTGTAGGACGCAGTGGTGGGAAGTTCCATGGTGGGGTGCAGGAAGAATGCCTTTTACCCTCTGAAGCCGCGCTCCTCAGAAGCCCCCTTTCAGTAGGGGGAAGTGGACAGAAGTACACTGTGCTGGGGGAGCGCATGATCTGCTGGTAGGAGGCGGCATCTCTGCCTTCTGCAGGCTGAGGAGAGGCCGCCATGGACTCTGTGGCCCTACACGGCTTGCCTTCTCCTCTTTCGCAGAGCCCAGGGCCTGGAGCCCAGCGCCCCTAGCCTTCCTCAGTGACTCCAAGGAGACCACGGCTCCAGCCTCCTGAGGTCCCCCGACCTGAGGACCTTTCAGAGCTGCACAGGGCGTGAGCACGGTGGGCAGTGAGCTCCTCAGCCATGTCCTTCAGTGCCACCATTCTCTTCTCCCCTCCCAGCGGCAGTGAGACCCGATGCTGCTGCTGTGCTTGTAAGAGCGAGAGTAGCGGTGGCAGCGCGGGCTCCCAGGGTAGAAACCCTCCTCCTGGCACCCCCATCACGGTGACTGGACATGGCCTGGCAGTTCAGAGCTCCGAGCAGCTCCTGCATGTTATCTACCAGCGCGTGGATAAGGCTGTGGGCCTGGCGGAGGCTGCTCTGGGTCTCGCCCGGGCCAACAATGAGCTGCTAAAGCGGCTCCAGGAGGAAGTAGGTGAACTCAGACAAGGGAAAGTGTGCAGCCCTGAGGACGATGGGGAGAGCCGGGCCCACAGTCCCGCACCCGAGGAGACTGGGCCCCTCAAGGAGAGTCCTGGCGACGCCTGCAAGACTCTGTCTGCCGTGGAGGAGGAGTGTGACAGCGTGGGCAGCAGCGTGCAGGTGGTGATCGAGGAGCTGCTGGGGGCGGCCTCGGCGGTGGGGTCTGGGCCTCTGGGCTTCCCAGCCCCCCAGAGAGACCTGCGGCTCCCAGGATGCTCCCTGGCCGCTGGCGAGGGGCCCCCACTGCTGCACCCCGTGAGTACCACAGCAGTGCAGCTGCTCCCGGCCTGTCTCGCCTTTTTTCCTTCCTTGCTTTTTCATTCCACATGTAAGCCTGGCTTTTATTTGCAGTAGAAGAGAACACCTGGCACGTTCCACCTGCCTTTAGGGTTGGTCCACACTCCTGTTTTCTTCCTGCTCGCTGGCCCCTCTGCCCCTTAGACAAGTGGCTGGGGGCAGGTGTGGTGGTGCTGGGCACTTTGCCCTCCCTCGCAGGCGCTCAGCATGGCACCTTCTCCTCACAGCTGTCTTGGCTGCTGTGCGGGCTCTGCCTCTCCTGGCGAGAACGCCCGCCATGCACAGACGGCTCATTCATATTTTATCATGGGCCTCTGCCTGCCAAGAAGAGTTGGGTATGGTGAGATGGGATTGGGGAGGGGTCGGGGCAGAGGAGGAAAGGGAGAGGGAGAGGAAGGGTAGGAGGAGGCAGGGAAGGGAAGAGACAGTAGCAATGAGAGGTCTGAGGAAGCAAAGCCGCATGTAAGAAAAGTGAGTCTGTGGAAAGAGGAGAATTTATGGGGCTGGGGGAGACGAGGCAGTGGGGTAAGCAAAAGAAATGGACACCTGAAAGTGAATAAATAATAAGAGGTTGGCACAGAGGGAGCAAAAGAGACGCAAAGAAGGAGCCGGCAAGCTTATTCAGTGAGCAGGAAAAGACATGGTGCTGTTGCAGGATTTTGCTGCATAAGGGCCATATGAGCAGGAAAATCCTGGCTGAGTGGAGTAGAAACTGAAGAATGTCGCACATGGAAGCATGAAAAGAGAAGGAGCAACTATAGGGATCATAGAGATGAAAATAACAGATGTGGCACCGCTTGAGAGCTGGGAGAGGTCTGCCGGCTCTCCACCTCCCCTCTGCTGCCCTCTACCTCCCCTCCCTTGGACAAGGCGCCCATGCCCAGGAAAGCACAGAGCAGAACAGACAAGGTGGACAGAGGGAGAAGATGCCAGTCTGTCTGCTGGGCTGGGAGTGACCAAAGGCCCTGGCCTCTGCTCTCCCGAAGCCGCAGCTGGGTGGCAGTTGTCACTGCTGCTTCCTCCCTAGTGGGTGTCTGGTCAGGACTCTCAGCGGTTTGGGCCTGAAGGAGGAGAAACTGGAGCAGGAGGTACCAGGCCAGGCAGTGTACTGAGATGTGGTTCTGCTCAGGCAGGGAAGGCTTCCAAGCGACAGGATGGAATTAGATTTCACAGCGCAGAACGCAGTTCACAGGTCTATAAATCTCAGCCTCCTCCCCCGCTTCTTTCTGTGTGTGGTTTCCCCCACTTTCACTGTTTTGTTTTCTTGGCTTCAGAAATGCCCCCTCCTCTCCTTCTCCCTCTCCCTCTCTGCCTTGCCCCCTCCTTCCTTTCCCTGCCCTATGTGTCCTTGAATAAGGGCACAGACAATCAGCCGGATGTCAGGGCCGCAGCGGCCTAGTGTGACCGGGCCAGGATCAAGGTGAGGGCACAGATGCCCCTCAAAGGGAACGAAGGGTAGGCAAGGGGAACTCACCTGGGCCTGCCTCTCTAGGGATTCTTGACTTTGTGTCTCCCTGCTTTCCTCTCATTTTCCTCTTATTTCCCCTTTGTTCTTGCTACTATTTAATTTTCTTGGTCCTTTCTTGTTGGACTTATCCTTTTTTGCTATCCCTTCCTTCCCCAACCCCTTTTATTTATTTTTTTTATTATTTTATTTATTTATTTATTGATGGAACCAGGGATTGAACTCAGACCCTTGTGCTTGCTAGGGAAGCGCTTATTCCACTGAGCCATCTCCCCGGCCCCCCAACCCCTTTTAGACAAAACACTTCCCTTGTTACATTTCTTTTATACCCAAGAGCAAGCCATAAATGACTGCTCATAGAACATCAGAAACCTGCCTTGTACATGGAAGCAGCCCCATGCTGACAGCCCAACAGGAGAGGCCCTCTACAGTATACACTAAAGCTATTTGCCCACTGAGCCTGTAGGAATCCAGAGCAGTGAGCCACTGAGCATTGAGGCCTGCTCAGTTTCCCTCTTTTCCACCCTCCACACTAGTCTTGTTCAAAGAATGGTGTCCGACCAGGTTTCCCTATGCGTGGTTGGCTAATAGTCCACTCATTTTTCTGTTCTTAGCTGGTGGATGATTATGTGGCCTCTGAGGGTGCAGTGCAGCGAGTGCTGGTCCCTGCTTATGCCAAACAGCTTTCGCCAGCCACACAACTGGCTATCCAGCGAGCATCTTCAGAGACAGGGCCAGAAAATGGAGCCAAACTCCCACCACCTCGTCCTGAGGATGTGCTCAGTGCTGCTGCTGCGTTGGACGGTGCCTTGGAGGAGTCTGGCCAGGGGAGCACTGGGGACCTGAGACACTCTCTTGGACTCACTGCTTCCCCATGCAGGACCCGAGTGAGCGGGCAGAAGAACTCCAGGCGCAAGCGGGATCTGGTCCTCTCTGTAAGTGAGCTTTGTTGCTACAGAGTGATGGGTGGGTGGATTTTAAGCCTCCTGGAGATAATGAATGGTGTTCCAGATCCTACTGGAGTGGAAGGAACAAGGAGAGCATTCTGTAGCCCTGGGTATAGATAGTACATTTTATTTTATTTTAAAATTTGTTTATTTATTTATTTATTTTGTGTGTGCGTGGCCAGCTCAGCCCACCAGGGGGTGGGGCTGGCTGGCATGTGGTGCTGGGGGATTGAACTGTGGTCCCTGTGCTTTGCTTAGCTTAGCTTGTTCTAAGTAGGTGCTTTAGACCACTGAGCCATCTCACCAGCCCCAGTACATTTTATTATATCACTCACACTTTTTAGGCTTTTCTAGAAAAGGTGACATCTTCCCTTTCATAAGTCGGGAACCATGTCATGTCTTCTAGTATTCCACAGTCTCAGTGAGAACATCTCTAAGGGACTGAGCAGATAATCAGCAGCATGCTGGGTAAGTGGCAAGGGCTCCTTAGGTGGAAAAGTCTACACTCGGCTCAGTTATAGAGATTTGGCGAATATAGTCATTCCAAGAGCTCTTGGCAGGGAAAGGACTGGCTTGGATTAGGTCTGCATGAAACCTGAGTGACAGACAGATGGATAGACAGACAGACAGACAGACAGACAGACAGACAGACAGACAGACAAAGGAACATTCTGACCCAATCTTAGATATCCTCAGTAGTTATCAACCTGTGGCACTTTTGCCTGCAGGGAGCATTTGGAACCCACTGGAGATATTTCCATGTGTGGGCTAATAGAGGGAGGGCAGGAGACTACTGACACCTAGTGGGAAGAGGCCAGGTGTTCTGCTGAACATCCTTCAAGGCCCTCCAGTGCCCACAGGTACCGGCTGATAGGTCAGTAGTGTAGAGTTGGGGAACTTTCTTCTGTAGTCTTGTGGATCAATTGTGCTTCCTAAATCTTCTTTCTGATAAGCATAGAGATATAGCCATATATCTGTTGACTGTGTTTCCAGTCTCTGCTTAATGACTGGCAGGAAGTAACTGGAGAGTTGTAGTTGGGAGTGGGTATCATCACTCATAGCCAACCTAACTTCTACCCTACGGTGGGGCCCATTCCCTTTCTTACAGATTGAGTAAGATTGAAAATCTCATCATTTATACATCCTTTATTTGTAGTGCTTTTGTCTTTTTTTTTTTTTTTTTTTTTTTTTCCTGAGAGCTCTTTTTTCATTTTGCTTTGGTCTAGGTTTTTTTGAGACTGGGTCTCTATGTGGTTAAGGCTGGCCTTGAACTCACTGTATAGCCCAGACTGGTCTTGAACTCACAGTCATCCTCTTGCCTCAGCCTCCCATATCTGGGATTACAGGTGCATGCTACTATGCCAGCTGAGAGACCATAAGCTTCTTTTTTTTTTTTTTTTTTTTGCGGAACCGGGGATTGAACTCAGGCCCTTGCACTTGCCAGTGAAGCAGTTATTCCACTGAGCCATCTCCCCGGCCCCCATATGCTTCTTTTCTCTTTCATATGACCTATTTTTCCACCAGAGATTCTTGTTTCTCATGAAAGACACCATTCATTACTAGTATCAACTAGTATCTAATCATTTTGAATTTGGTTATGTTCAAGGACATTTTATCGAGAACAGGGGGTGATGGGCTAGGGAGACAGTTTGGCAGTCTAAGTACCTGACTGGCAAGTGCAAAGACCTGGTTTCGATCTCCAGTACTGCATGCTGTGCTGCCCTGAAACTGTATGTGGTGGTGCACATCTGTAATTCCAGCACTGGGAAGGCTGAGACAGGAGGTTCACTATAGTCTGAACTGCATAGTGAGACACTGTATCAAATAAATAAATAAATAAAACAAGGGGTGAGTTTAGCTGCTGTCACAGATCTGTTGCCCAGCAGGCCTAGTCCAGCTGCCAGTAAAAAGAATGAAGGAATAAGCCTAGAAATGCATTTCAAGGGGTTTCCTGAACCTTCCTTGTATTTAAATCATAAGTAAATATGTGATGATAATAATAATTTGTACAAAGTCAGGACTTTCCATCACTTCCATTCTACTCCTGTCTGTCTCCAAAGACAGGTATAGTATCAAGAACTGGCTTTTTTCCTGTTACTGGGGATTGAACTCAAGGCCTTGGGCATGCTAGGCAGGTGGTGGACCCCTGAGCCACATCCCCAGCCTTGAGATTCTCAGCTTCTTCCTTCTCTTTGGTGAGTTCAGTTGATCTGGGGACCTTGTGGTAAAACAGTGAGATTACTTCCATGTCAAATTGAAAGTTAAGAACAGAGTTTATTAATAAAGCCAGCCATCAAACCCCTCCCGGGGGCCGGGGAGATAGCTCAATGGAATAAGTGCTTCCCTGGCAAGTGCAAGGGTGAGTTCAATCCCCGGTTCAGAAAAAAAAAAAAAAAAAAAATTCATGCTTGGGGCTGGGGAGATGGCTCAGTAGGATAAGTGCTTGACTGGCAAATTCAAGGATCTGAGTTCAATCCCCGGTTCTGCCAAAAAAAAAACAAAAAAACCCTTCCCGGGTTACAGATCTTAAATGACCCATCCCACCGGTGTCCAAATGCACTTCCTTGATCAGTACAGATCAGAAACACATCTGGCCTAGTTCTTTGTTCTTTGTCTGCTTAAGTAGCTATAACATCTTAACAAGGGTAGAGAAGGGGTAGTGACATCTTCCCCCCCCCCCAACCAGGGATTAAACTCAGGCCCTTGCACTTTCCAGGGAAGTGCTTATTCCACTGAGCCATCTCCCTGGCCCCCAGGAGTGACATCTTAACAAGGGTGGGCAAGGCTTAACTAGAGCTTCTTTACCTACAATCAAAGTAACCCAGTTGATTTTTTTTTTTTTGCGGAACTGGGGATTGAACTCAGATCCTTGAGTGTGCCAGTCAAGCATTTATCCTACTGAGCCATCTCCCCGGCCCCTAAAGTAACCCAGTTGAAAGCCACCCCCGCCTAGTGGCAGGACAGTTGCTGGCTCATCATGCTCCCTGTTACCACGCTTGAAAAGTATGAAGAGGCCCATTTGGAATTTCTCGGCCCATCATAGAGCAAGGTTTGAAATATTCTTGTGCTAGACTGAGGGTTTGCAGGGGGCGGGTTAGTTGCGTCTTTTCTGTTGGACTCTAGCTCTGGGAAGGAATCAAAGTGGGATCTCCTCCATCTGCTGGGGCTCCTGTGGATTGCTGCTAGGATCCTGTGAACCAGAAAGACCAAGTCAGAACCCCGAATTCCTTGGAATGCTCAGATCCCATCCAGCCCTTAAGGGAATGGATTTATTTTTAGCCCACTCAGGAGGTAGATGAGCCAGCAGCCTTTGCAGTCTTAACACTTATTGTCTTGAGTATTTTCTCTTTCCACTTCAAGCCGAGTTTGGTTTTTATCACTTCATCTCTTCCAAACCACTTGAGCTAGGTAACTTCCTTTTTTTTCCTTTTGTTGAGAAACTCAAATTCTTGCATTTGCCTCTTTCTTTGTTAGTTCTCAGGCTTGGATATCTAAAAGGGTGAACTAGGGCTGGTGAGATGGCTCAGTGGTCTAAAGCACCTACTTGGAACAAGCTTGGCAAAGCACAGGGACCACGGTTCAATCCCCCAGCACCACATGCCAGCCAGCCCCGCCCCCTGGTGGGCTGAGCTGGCCACACACACACACACACACATACAATAAATAAATAAATAAATGTTTAAAAAAAAATAAAATAAAATAAAAGGGTGAACTATGTCAGATATAAAGCCAGTATAATCACAGAGCTTCTTCAAGATGGAGACTGCAGCTACAAAGAGCTAACAGTACTTTCCTTAGTGCTTCCACACACACGGCCACCCAGCCAAAGAGGCAGGAGCAGAAAAAATAAAAAGAAGCAGGAGGAGCTGGGGATTTCCGGATATGGATTTGTCAGCTTGGGACTGGGTAACTTTCACTGACTGGGTAACTTTCATTGTTCTGGGATGAAAATATAATCAGAAACAACAAAACTAAATCTAACCAAAAGAAATGTAAAATTCTGCATAAATATTCAAAGTACAAGTTGCAGAATAAACCCTATAATATTATAAATGGCCATGGGTTGCTAAAAATGGTAGCACCACCTGGGCATGGTGGTGCATGTGCACCTGTAATCCCAACACACGGGAAAGCTGAGGCAGGAGTATCTGGAGTTCGAGCACAGCCCGGGTGACTCTGTAACCTAGCAAAACCCTATGTCAATATAAAAAAATACAAAGGGCTAGCTAGATTTCAGAGGGCCCGGGTTCAATCCCAAGTATTACATTTGAAAAGGAGAAGGACACTAGAGAGGCTGAGGCAGGAGGATTGTTGCAAGTTCAAGACCAGCCTCTGCTACCAAAAAATGAGCTCAAGGCCAGCCTGAACTGCATAGCAAGACCCTGTCTCAAAAAGACAAGGAAAAGAAGAAGGTGGAGAAAAATTATCACACTGTGTTGGGTTTTATTTGTAGAAGTACAGTGTTCTACTCCAGGAAGTAATTCTCCCTCTGACCAGCCCTCAGTTGATGAGTTAGATTGAGCTGCAGGTGCCAATCTACAAGAGAGATGCAGGCACAGCAGAGAGCCTCCTATTTCTGAAGTGTATTATTTCTTAAGTGTATTAAGTGTATTATTTCTTAAGTGTATTTTTTTCTTTTTCTCTTTTTTTTTTTTTGCGGTACCAGGGATCGAACTGAGGACTTTGTGCTTGTCCAGCAAGCACTTATTCCACTGCGCTATCTTCCTGGGCCCCTCCTATTTCTTATGGATTTGGGACAGGGCCTCACTACACAGCTTGGACTGGTAATGATCCTCCTGTTTGCAGCCTCTCCAGCTCTGGAATTATAGGCGTGCACCCCCATCCTAGGTCTTGGTGGCCAGCTCAGCACACCCAGGGGGTGAGGCCTGCGCAGCATGTGGTGCCGGGGATTGAACCCCAGTCCCAGTACTTGCCTAAGCAGGCCCTTAGTCTGCTGCAATCTCAGCATTTGGGAGATTGAGGCAGGATGATGGCAAGTGTGAGGCCAACATGGGCTACATGATGAGACCTCTCTTGAAAACAAAACAAAATGCCCTCGAGATATTCAAGATGAGAATACCCTGACTCACAAAGGAGAAGCATTCACTGGATGTGCATGAACAAAACTGAAGGACAAAGCAGCCTGCTTAATGCCATGAAATGTAGTTGGTGACAGGGTCCTCTATATGCTTTCCAATTCACGTTCCTGTTATTTTAGATTTTTGTTTTCAGACCATGGTGCCTATACCTCAGGGAATAGTGATAATGTGGGAAAGGATATATAAAGCCGTGGCCAAAGCTGTACATTTTCCTGGGTCATTAATTTTACTACAGGCTGGCCAAATAGCTCAGATTAAAGTGCCTGCAAGCAGGTGCAGGGGCCAGGATTCGATGCAGGGCCTGCTGTGCTGGCCCCATCCCAGGGGCTTGATGAGACAACAATTGAGACTGGGTGTGGTGGCACGCACTTGTAATCCCAGCACTTGGGAGACTGTAAACAGGAGCATCACTACAAGTCCGATCTAGTAATGAGACCCTGAACACTCTGTAGACCATTCCCTAAAATACAAAAAAATAAAATAAAATGATAGATAGTCCGGGCTGTGCTGCAACACACAGTCCTCCTGCCTTGGCCTCCCAGAGTGGGGGGATCACAGTCTTTCACCACTACATCTGGCTGGGGCAAAGCCTTTTCACCCTAGGGGATCAGAGGAGGGTTTTCACTGTATACACTCCTGGCTTGATTCTGATTTTTTTTCTCACCTCTAGAAATTGGTCCACAATGTGCATAATCACATCACCAATGAGAAGAGGTTCAATGGGTCTGAAAGGTATGGTTCCTTATAAAAAGATCCCCAAGTATTTTGCCAAGGAGAAGGAAGAGGGGCGGAAGCTGCAGTCCAGCAACAAGGCTGAGGCTGGGCTCTCACTGGGACCCTCATGTGGGCTCTGAGAAGGAGAAGACTTTGCCACAAAGCTGCTTGGTGCTGGGTGCTTCTGCCTGCTCCCAAAGAACTGACCGCCGTATCCTTTGTGTCTCTGTGTAGCATCAAGTCCTCGTGGAATATTTCAGTTGTGAAATTCCTTCTGGAAAAGCTCAAGCAGGAACTGGTGACCAGTCCCCACAATTACACTGACAAGGAGCTGAAAGGTAAAACAAGATGCTCACTGCCGCCTGCCCTTTCTCCCCTCTGCTCCTGCTCCTGGGTTCTGTCCGAGGAGCAGAGGCATAACGGGGCGGGTGGGGCATGATGGAGGGGCTGCTGAAAACAGTGCGCTGAGAAAACACTGTGGGTGTTTTGACTATTCTCTTCGGCTATAATATATTTACAGGATTACCTCAGATTGTCTTTTTATTCTTCTGCTCAATCTAAAATGAAAATGGGAGAGAAAAAGGGCTAAGGTCAGAAGCTAGGCCTGCCTTGTATCCCTAATATTAGGTCTTGGGTATTTTCTTTGCTCACTTTTGGTTTTGCCCCTAACCCTGAAAAGTATTCTGAAAATTATACTGAAAGTATTGGACATAGCTGTTGGCAGAGTAAGAATGGGTATAATTTAATGTGGGAAGGGGTGCAGGAGCAGCGGGCTTTTTTTTTTTTCCTACTATAAGGATTGAACTTAGGAATGTTCTACCACTGCTCTAACTTCTCAGTCCTTTTAAAAATTTATTTTAGCTGGGTGTGGTGGTATATGCCTGTAATACCAGCATTCAGGAGGCTGAGACAGGAGGATCACCACAAATTCAGGGCCAGGCTGAAAATAAATTCTTTTAAATTGCCCAGGCAAGGGGGGCCGGGGAGATGGCTCAGCGGAATAAGTGCTTCCCTGGCAAGCACAAGGGAATACCTGAGTTCAATATCCAGTTCCGCCACAAAGAGAAAAAAAGGAAAAAAAAAAAAAAAAAGATGGCATGTACAATTTGGCCAGGGAGATGGCTCAGTGGAATAAGTGCTTCCTTGGCAAGCATAAGGGCTTGAGTTCAATCCCCAGTTCTGGAAAAAAAAAAACACAAAAAACCGAAACACAATAAATTGCCCAGGCAGGGCTCAAAATTGCAATCCTGCTACCTCTCGGCCTCCCAAGTAGCTGGAAATTTCAGAGCTGTATCACACTGAGCCTGCCCAGCCAAGTCTTTCTGCAGGGGGAGATACTCAGGGGAATTGGCGCTGGAGGTGAGCACAGGGTGCTAACCTGGAATGTGCTAGACGCTGGTGGTTCTGCCAAGGAAGCCCACTGTCTAGTGATTCCAGCTTCCCATTCAGCATGAGGGCAGGAATAAGGGCTGCTCTGGAGGAGCCTACTGCTTGCTTTCTCTCTTCCTTCCTCAGGAGCCTGTGTGGCCTACTTCCTTACCAAAAGGCGTGAGTACCGCAACTCTCTAAACCCCTTTAAAGGTCTCAAAGAAAAAGAAGAAAAGAAACTTCGAAGTCGCCGATACAGGGTAGGTCTTTAGGCCTTTCTCAGAATACCCTAAATGCTTTTTTTTTTTTTTTTGGGTGCTGGCAATTGAGCCACAGCTTTATGTGTGCTAGGCAAGTGCTTTGTCGCTGAGCAGCATCCTTGGCCTTTGAACTCTAAATCTTACTACCCTGGTGGGAAGGGCCAGAGAACATGGTATCTGAGAATAGGGCTGACCCCCAGGAATGTAGGCAGGTGGAGAAAGAGGTGAGTTTATTCTAAGATACCACCTAAGGGCTGGGTTCCTTGAGGCACAGGGTTTACTCCGCCTCCTTCCCCACCTAAGTTCCTTCTCCAGTTGTAATCCAGTCTGTTTCTTCCCCCCTGCTCTTTGTCCTGGGCTCCTTCTTAGCTTTTTGCCAACCGATCCAGTATCATGAGGCATTTTGGGCCTGAGGACCAATGCTTGTGGAAGGACGTGACTGAAGAACTGATGTCAGATGAAGAGGACAGTCTGAACGAGCCAGGGGTCTGGGTGGCCCGTCCTCCCCGTTTCCGGGCCCAGCGCCTCACGGAGCTCTGCTACCACCTGGATGCTAACTCTAAACACGGCACCAAAGCCAACCGCGTGTATGGCCCTCCCTCAGACAGACTCCCTTCTGCAGAGGTCCAGCTCCTTCCACCAGAGCTTTACAATCCTAATTTCCAAGAAGAAGAAGAGGGAGGCCCCGAGAATGGACCCGTTTCCCCCTCTTTTGATCAGTCCCACAAAACCTGCTGTCCGGACTTGAACTCATTCATTGAAATCAAGGTGGAAAAAGATGAGTGAAGTCTATAACCAAGAATAACTTTGTTTTCTGCCACTTTTGTGTCCCAGAAATGGGTGGCCATAGGGCTTCTCAAAACAGTAAGATACCCTCTGTAGTCTGAGAAAGCAGATTTGCCTCTGTTCTTAATAGTCTTTAGGGCTAGGCATGTAGCTCAGTGGCAGTGTCTGCCTGGCAAGTGTGAGGTCATGAGTTCAGTTCCCAGTACCAAAAATAAAGTTTCCCATCGCTACAAATGTGCAATGGGAATAACACACATCAACACATTCTTTGATGGAATAAAAGAACTTCTCTTGAAGTGGGCAAACTCAGAGCCAGCAAATGCTTATTCCTGAGCATACGGTGGCTCAGAGGAGCCTGGGATGAGACAGGAATATGGGTTTGAGAAGCATGAGGCCTTCCTGGCACATGTCTGAGTCACTGAGTCAGTCCCCTGGCCTGCCACCCCTTGCACTCCAAGCTCCTGGGAAGCAGTCTTGGTTTTAGCTTTTGCTTCCCGAGTTGCTGGCCTTGCTCCGCAGCAGAACTGACCAGCCCAGCCCTATACTGCCACCTGGTGGACAGTCGTCCAAGGACGTGATTCTGAGATATACATATTAATAATAGCTGTTGTTTATTAAATCATATGAGGAAGATTTTATTATTCCCATCTTACAGATGAGGAAATTAAAGAATAAAAATTCCCACGTCTCACTGGCAGCTTTTCTCCTACTTTACTATTTTTCAGTCCTATCAGCCACGCTGTATTTTGGGGAAGATATATGCCTACACATACATGGATTGAGAGGTAAAATAGCTTTTGTCAGTCATACAACAAATATTAATTGCTTACTAGAAGTGATGTACTGTAAGGTTTATGATCAGGCTCTGATGTGTAGCCAGGAAGCCAGGCCTGAGTAGGCAATGATGCGTTCTGTGACGCGTTCCTGTGGAGGGATGCAGCATGCAATAGCAGCTAGTCTACTCCTGAAGTCACAAAAACCTTCTCACAGGCAGTGAGATTTAAGCTGATGCCTGAAAAGTGAGGAGGATTTAACCAAGAGAAGGGAGGAAGCCAGGGAAGTGTTTTTAGCAGGTACAGCAGACAAAAGGTCCAGAGGCAAGAGAAAGTACAAACAAGAGTTAATTTGCTGCAGACTGGTTCAGAGAGGGCATAATGCTGACAGAAGAAGCTGGAGAGATAGAGAGGAGACCTTTTAAAACACTTTAAAGATGCTGGGTGTGGTAGTCCATACTTACAATCTCAGCACTTGGGAAGCTGAGACAGGATTTTCACAAGTTTGAAGCCAACCTGAACTGCTTATTGAGACCCTGTTTGCAAAAATAAAACAACTACCTTAAAGAGTACCACAGTTAGCTCAGCACAGTGAAAAACCATTGAAAGGTTTTAAGCAGGAAAAGATAGCAGTTTTGAGGAGAATCACTTGCACTCTGGGTGTGACACAGGTTGGAGAGGCTGCCTCAGCTGGGAGACTCTTGCACTGGTTCAGGATGGTGGCCTGACACAGTATAGTGCCAAAGAGACAGGACAGCTTGGACAGGTATGTAGGAAGCAGAACTGACTGACAGGACTTGGAGATTTATAGGATTTGAGGTTAAGGGAAGAAAACAGGGTTGATGGTCAGGTCTGTCACTTAAGTGGCTAAGTGGCTGGTGCCATTTATTGCAGGAATGCTGGAGGAACCAGTTGCAGAAAGCAAGAAAAATGCTAGTAGTAACTGGAGGGCCAGGGAGATGGCTCAGTGGAATAAGTGCTTCCCTGGCAAGCACAAGGGCCTGAGTTCAATCCCTGGTTCCACAAAAAAAAAAAAAGTAACTGGAGAGGTTTTGGGGTGTGTGATATGGAGGACTGATTTTTTGTGGCACTTTACTACTGAGCTGCATATCTGGCCCTTTTTATATCTTTTGTGTGTGACACGGGATTGAACCCAGAGCCTTCACACTGACTTAAATCTTTTTTTTTTTTTTTTTTTGAGTCAGGGTCTCTAAGTTTCCCAGGCTGAGCTTGAACTTAGAATATTACCCTAAGAGTGCTGGCATCACAGGTATATGCCACCATGTGTAGCTTTTGTTTTTATTTATTTATTTTTACTTTTTGACAGGATCTCATTGTTTCTCAGGCTGGCTCAAACCTGTGATTCTCCCGCCTCAGTCTCCTGAACAATTCTTTGAGTTTTTCAGTCTAAGAAAGTATGGTCTAGGGCTGGCAAGATAGCTCAGTGGACTAAGAGCCTGCTTAGGCAAATGCAAGGACCAGGGCTTGATCCCTGGCCAGCCACTAAGACCGGGGTGGTGATGCACGCCTGTAATCCCAGCACTGGGGAGGCTGAAAACAGGAAGATTACTATGAGTCCCAGCTGCTTAGTGAGACTCTGTACCAAATACATTAAAAAAGAAAGAAAGAAGTATGGGCTACAGATGTGAGTAATTTGTATATGTACTTCATACTTAAAGGCTTGGGGATGAAGAGGCCAATGCAGTGGCTACCAAGAGGTCACGCACACTACAGAGCATGCCAAGTCAGGGCAGCCCACTTCTTCACTCATCTGTGCTTCCCATCATCTCCTGACAAGGCAGGCTTGTTAATCCCAGCTGTGTGCATTGTTGCCACCACCAACTTCCGCATCTCAAATTTTTCTAAGGTTTACTCTCTCATCTTCATCCTAAAGGATCAAATGTAAGTAACTGAGAGAAGAATCTAGGTTCTTTCCTGTCTGGAGTCAGGAAAGGAGGGAAACCCTTATTGTTAATTCTGAGGATGTTGCTCACAACAGGTTCTAGATGTAACCTGATAGCACCTCTCTGTGACTGGTGCCTTTCAGTCCTCTATGCTTCCAAATGATAGGAAACTTCCTGGATTTGGAAAGAGCTGTCAGTCTGGCCTGAGAAACAGGATGATTCTCAGGAGAGATGAGGTCCTAGTAACAATGCCTCTTGGATGAAGAGGCCAAATATTTGTACCAAATTAATTATTTGTTTTCCTATTCTCTAAGGATATACTAATACAAAAGGTGTCCAAGGGTTGGTGGTATAGCTCAGTGGACTAAGTGCTTGCTTAAAGGGGCCAGGGTTAGATCCCTGGTACCGCATGCCATGCCGGCCCTGTCCCCAGGATCGCTGATCCAGGCGATGGGAGTACGGGTGTGGTGACACACACCTGTAATCCAGGACTAGGGAGGCACAAATCAGAAGGATCACTATGAGTCAGAGCTGCATAGTGAGACCCAGCACACACACACACACACACACACACACACACAAGTAAAAGGTTCCAATATGAGATAAAAAATAATATGCATGGTTTGAGTTCAATTTTCATATTCATTTACTGTCTAAATACAAAGGAGTCATATTAATTCCACATTCTACTCCCTCAGGCTCTTGCCCTTAATGTGCTAGTCTACAGAAACCGTGTTGGCCAGTGTTTAGCTTCAGCCAGGGTATTTTCCAGTATGGCCGACATGTTTTCTACCTCATCATTTCCACTTGCTACTTCCTCTAACCAACTGGAATTTCTTTTTCTTCTCTTAATGCATACTCTTATCACCAACCAATGCGGAGGGTTGGGGGAGGGGAGGTGTTCACCAGCTGAAACTAGACCTCCCATCCCTTTAGTTACCTGAAATATTTGCTAAAAATCTCATTTCCCAACACCAGGGGGTGTCTATCTAACTCTGTCTTTCCTACCCTTAAGGTAGCGATTAGTCCCAAACCTTTCTTCAATGCTTTTATAGGTTTACAGTACACACACACACACACACACACACCCCCCGGTATGCTCCAGTCCCAAACCTTTTCGTCTCTCCTTTTTACTGATTTTACAAACACGTAAATCTACCCGGGTGCTCCACCATCCCAGAAGTGTGGGTTAAGAAAGTATTGTCTTTTCAGTGCAGGTTCTCCGTGTTTCTCAAGAGCTCCAGATCAACTTGTTCTTTTTCTTTGTCCTCCCACATCCCCTTTGCCCCAGCTTTCTCTTTCGCCGTCTTCCACCTCCCCATATGGAATTCTCCACTCTTTGGGGCTATCTTTACCTCCAAGTCCTCGAACTTTTAACATATCTACCTTTCTCCATTAGCCCTGTTTTCCTCTCTATTCTTCTCTCTCTGTTCACCGCTCCTGTACCGTCTTCTCTCCATCTCCCACAGGTCGGACACTAGAAACAAAGTCACGGTGTTTGCGCAGAACCAGCCCCCAGTCGCCCCGTCCGGGTTCGCCACATTCCACGGTGCCCCTCCGCGCATTCCAACTGCAAACAAAGAGTCCCCCTTTTCCCTCCCCCTACATTTTCTCATTCCAGTTCCTGGATATTGCGCTCCCCCAGCTGCCCAACCTGGCCCTTGCCTTCCTCTAGGGTCCAAGTCGTGAGTCTCCACCCCCAACGCACTTAGCCCCAGCGCCCCCCGCGACGCACCGCGAATCCCTGCGCAGACACCCCCAGAGCTGCAGGGCGCACCGCGCTCCGCCCTTCCAGGAAAGTAGATCCGGCCAGGCAGACAAAAGTTTGGGAGAGAAGTTCCTTTCGAGCCGAGTGTTAGAAGAGGGGGCGGGGGCCCGGGACAGTCGGGCTGTCGGACAAGTCGACGCGTGAACCGATAGCTCTGCGGACTGGGCAGCCCTTCCAGCCCCGCTTGGCCCCAGATGCGCGGGGGGACCCGGCCCCTCCCGCCGGGGGATGCTGCGAGGTTCCCGGCGCCAGGCACCTGGGCGGCCCGCTAAGCCCGAGTGTCTGCCCTGTGCCCCCGGGGAAGCCGCATCCCGCCGCCGAGCAGCTGCAGGGTGCCGGACAGGGAGGGGGCTGGAGGCCCCAGGCCCGAGGGCATGGAGCGATTAGGGGAGAAAGCCAGCCGCCTGCTGGAGAAGTTAAGACTCTCGGACTCCGGCAGCGCCAAGTTCGGCCGCAGAAAGGGTGAAGCTACCCGGTCTGGGTCTGATGGGACCCCCGGGCCAGGCAAGGGGCGCCTGAGTGGGTTGGGGGGACCCAGGAAATCGGGGCCCAGAGGAGCAAACGGGGGCTCAGGGGATGAGCCATTGGAGCCGGCCCGGGAGCAAGGGTCCCTGGACGCCGAGCGGAATCCGCGCGGCTCCTTTGAGGCGCAGCGCTACGAAGGCTCCTTTCCTGGGGGACAGCCGCCCACCCGGGCCTTGCCTCTACCTCAGTCACTACCCCCCGATTTCCGGCTGGAGACCACGGTCCCGGCCCTAAGTCCCCGCTCCAGCTTTGCCAGTAGCTCTGCCAGCGACGCGAGCAAGCCGTCCAGCCCCCGCGGCAGCCTGCTGCTGGACGGCTCGGGGGCCGGCGGAGCGGGAGGAAGCCGGCCCTGCAGCAACCGTACCAGCGGCATCAGCATGGGCTACGACCAGCGCCACGGGAGCCCCCTGCCCGCGGGACCGTGCCTGTTTGGGCCACCCCTGGCCGGGGCCCCGGGAGGCTATTCCCCTGGAGGGGTCCCGTCCGCCTACCCGGAGCTCCACGCCGCCCTGGACCGACTGTGCGCTCACCGGCCAGCTGGGTTCGGCTGCCAGGAAAGCCGCCACTCTTACCCCCCTGCCTTGGGCAGTCCCGGGGCTCTGGTCGGGGCCGGAGGGGCAACAGCGGGGCCCTTGGAGAGGCGTGGGGCGCAACCCGGACGACACTCGGTGACCGGCTACGGGGACTGCGCGGCCGGCGCCCGATACCAGGATGAGCTCTCTGCTTTGCTGCGCCTGACGGCAGGCGCCGGGAGCCGAGAAGTGAGCTCCCGCCGGGAACCTTCGGGAATCGAACCGTCGGGTCTCGAGGAGCCACCGAGTACGTTCGTTCCAGAGGCCGCCCGAGCCCGGATGCGGGAGCCCGAAGCCCGAGAGGACTACTTCGGTGAGACAGAGGTGGCTAGGATGCCGGGGAGGGGGGCGCATTCGACTCCCCAGTGCCCCGTCGGGCCGAACTGCCAGGGTCCAGGGGTCGGAGATAGAAACGCCGGATTAGAGAAGAGGCTGGAGAGGTGGGTGGGGCGGGTCCTAGAGCGCGTTTTCCTTCCCTACTGGGTTTCAAATGGACCAGGATGCCTCATTTCTGCTAAATGTAACCCGCCGGTTATCTCGCGAGTCCCGACTTCAAGCGTTAGAGAGCTTCAGTTTTAGCCATAGAAAGGAAGCCTGTAGGGAGGGGACCCACAGGATAGAGAGCATCCCAGTCCCTTGTTGCCCCGAACCCCTCCTCCCCCGTCACCAATGTGCCCCTACAGGCTCCGGCGTGAGGCGCCCCCACCCGGCCCAGGCTCCGCCCGCAGGAATTCGGGGAATGCGCGGGGCGGGCGGGCCGCGTGCGTGCCGACTCCTGCCCCGGCGCTCCAGGTGCCCGCGGGCGGGGCCGCCGAGGGGTGGGGTGCGCGCGCCCGGAGTGGGGCGCTTCCTAGCACGCGCGGAACAGTGTCGCCTGCCCGGGAAGTGGAGCTTAGGAGGAAGGATGGAGCGCCCAGGGACGGAAACCAGGAACTCAAGTATTACCCGGCCCCCGTCCTGCCGGCGAGGTGCACGGTGGGCATTTAAGGAGCCTCATTTCACAGGCTTCTGAAGTCAGAGCAGAAGTCATGTCTACCAAGACACCATCACCCCTGGGTGGAACTCGTCCCTCCATGACTACAAGAAGTTACCTGGTCTTGAGTTTTGGCCATACATAACATAGTTAAAATTCAGGCTAGAAGTAGCTCCTTACCTCCTGCGGCAATTAGGGAAACCTGGATGCAGCCTCCCTTCTTCACTCTGTTCAAGACGTCCCAGCTAAGGGGGTTATTGCGGTTTTGAACAATCCTTTAGTCGAATCCACAGGCAATAACTATCTCGCTAGGTAAAGCAGTGCTAATTCTTCCGGTGTGAAGAGAAGCACTCCAGCCCCACCCCTTTGCGAGGACTGTGGGTTTTTTCAGTTTTCTGAACCTTTCCTCCACACCTTTCTCCATCGTGTCCCTACCTAGGAGCCAGTGTTTTGGGAATCCAGGGCTAGAAATGTGAACAAGGAGAGGACAGCAGCTGGGCTGCCACTGTCTGGGGAGGAAGCTCAGGGGTAGCAGGCTTCGGGGTGGGGAGGGGGGGGAAGATGGGCCGCTTAACTCACCCCACCCCCAGCCAATTCTTTTCTCGCACTCCAGAGAGGAAAGCCCAGATCAGATGATGCTAGATCACTTTGATCAAGGGAGATTGAGTGACAGGCCCATTTAGCAGGTTCCTTTTGAGCCCCAGGAGAGGTAGCTGGGAAAGAAGTCTGTTTGGCCAAACCATCGGGCCAAAAGGAAGAAAGGAACTCAAAGAAAGTGCAATAAAATGGCAGGAAGAAGCTAGGTGTGGACATGCTGGGTGAGAGGAGGTAAAGCAAACATGCCCCAGCAGTTTCCTCTATAGTTTTCCTGTAGTTTCCCGGACTTTCCAAGGAATGGCTCTGACAAGCCCCTTTGGCAGACAGTACTCTTGGGCAGGTCTCTTCCACGAGGAGGCTGCGTTGTAACTCAGCAGAGGGCACCTCTTCCTGGAGGTCAGCTTGCCTCCCCTCACAGAACCACGTGGAACCCAGGCCTGGCTCCACTGTCCCCTCTGCCCCAGGAAGGGCCCTCTTCTTTGCCTTTATCCTTGCCCAGCTGCCAGAGGGTGGGAGCAGGGCAGGCCTGGGCCCATCAGTTGCTGCAGCTGCTGCACAGACTCCCAAGCCCCTGGGCAAAGCCTGGGATGAGCCCAGACAGGCAGGGAGTGTGGCAGCGTGCCGGGGGAGAGGTGGGGCAGGCCCGTTGGGATCTGCTCCCCAGAAACAGGCCCTAGACCTCACTCATGGGCCTGGAATTGGGGAGTGGAGGAGAGGAAGCACACACCCAGGAAAGGTGGCTGCTAGGTCCAGGTGCATATTTTAGTGGGGGATGTGTGTGTGTGTTTTACTGGCGATTGAACCCAGGGACTTGACATGGAGCTACATTCCCCAGCATTTTTTAGTTTTTATTTTGAGACAAGGTCTTGTGAAGTCACTAAGTGGCCTGGGCTGGTCTGATCTGAAACTTTATCCCCCTTACTCAGCTTCCCAGAGTGCTAGGAATACAGGCGACTGCCACCACACCCAGCTGGGGGCTGTCTTGAAGAAGAGCAGCTCAGCTCTGTGTGTCTGCTGGATGGAACATGGTCATTAGACTCTGCCACCTTTCTCCCTTCCTGTGCGGCCTGGGTCCCTTCCCTGAACACAGCCTACATTCTCCACAGCCCTACCACTCCACTCTTGGGCCCTCTGCTTAGCCAGAGCCTCTTGAAGACTGTGGCTTTAATGCTTGGGCTCCTGAGAAACCTCTTGCAAGGTACAGAGGAGAGAAACCACTGTGTATCTGAGCAGCAGCTCATTTTACAGACGGGAAAACTAAAGCCCCAAAGGCTCCCTTGGGCTGACCTGCTTTCTCTAGAAGTTATTTGCTCTTGTTTTGAGCTTGCTGCTGAGCCCCTGACCATTTGTCCCACACTTGCGTGTTGAACGCTTTTTCCACAGAAGCAGAGTACCTAGAGGCCAAGAGCCGGTGTTTTTGACTTTCCCAGTTCTCTTCAGTGTTGAGTACTGTGCTGTACACAACTGTTGGTTAATCGTGTGAACAAGAACAGATCTCCTCAGCCAAGATCTTGCTGCACCTCATTTTGTGTTGCCCTCTCCTCTCCAGAGGAAGGTAGCCCAGGAGTGAGAGGCTGGGTCCTGTGGCACATCAACAGGGTGCAATCTGTGAAGCTTGGGGATCTCTGGATCTTAGCTATGGGAATGGGGTATGAGCTGACTACCTCTGTCTCTCCTCAGGCACCTGTATCAAGTGCAACAAAGGCATCTACGGGCAGAGCAACGCCTGCCAGGCCCTCGACAGCCTCTACCACACCCAGTGCTTTGTCTGCTGCTCCTGTGGTGAGTATGGGCCTCTCCGAGTTCAGACCCTCCTAAGTGCTGTGGACAACTTAGGCCTCCTGCTCTGTTGGCCAGAGCAGCTGTTGTATCCACAACCTCTTGCTTCCCCCTCTGGGCTTTACCTGGCTTCCCTGTCCATGCTGCTCTGCCTCCCTGCCGCTGTTCAGCCTCCTTCTCTCCTCCCTGCTTCTCTCTTTCTCCTGCCTCCCTGCTTGCCCAGTCTGGACTCAGCTTGGCCCTCAGCCTCTCCTTGGTGGAGTTTGGTCTTGGGCAGCTGAGTTGCCTGGGGTGACAGTGAAAGGCTGGAATGTGGGAAGGGCGGGGTGTGGGCTGGGGGAGTGGGGAACCATGGGGGGCCAGGAGGGGGGTTTTCTGTTGGCTGGTCAGAGTTCAGCCACCTCGCTGGAGTGGAGGCCACCAGGCTGTGCCAAGCTGATGACATCACGCTCCAGGAATGCCCACTGCTGCTGTTAGCTCCAGAGGCCCTGGGGGAGTGCGCCAACAGCCTTAACTCCCCCGCCCTGCCCTCCCTCACCTCTCTCATTACCCCTTCCCGCTGCTTGCCCATTCTGATTCCTCTGCTAAACCTTTAATCTCCTATCTCTGCCTGTCTGACTCCAGTGCTCAGTTTTTCTCTCACTCCCCCAGCTTCTCTCTGGTTTTCTTTAGGTTCGTTTGTCTCTGTCCTTTTTATAGGGTCTCTTTCCTCCTATCATGAGCTCCTAAGTCAGTTTTTCTCATTCACTGGGCAGAGGCTGAAGCGAAGGTTTTGTGGGGAAGAAGGCAGAAATTGGAGAGACTGCCTACTCTCCACCCTGACTTCCCTCCTTTGTGGCCCCTGATGATTTAGACACCATGGAGCAGTTCCTGGGGTTTGGTCAGGTGGGAAACGGTCCTGCCATTCTGCATGTGAGAAATCCTGGGCTGCTGCGGACCATGAAGACTCTGGGTCCCTCCAAGCCTGAAGAGCAACCTGACAGGGCAGAAAAGGGTGTGGTTTGCTCCCAAACAAAGCATTTTGTCTCCAGTGCCCTGACATTTTTAGAGTCTATTCCTAGAAGGAGCTGGACAGGGCTGTGTGGAGGCAGGGACTCTAAGGCAGAAATGCCCCAGAGGGCCAGGTCTGGGACGATGTGCCTCTGTGTAATGGTACAGAACCTGACGCAGAGCTCAACAGGCCAGGCACTGTGACAGGTGGGCACCCAAGAGAGACACATATCTGGGGGACACAAGCGTGGAGGGTGTGGTGAGCAGAGGCATTGACTACAGTAATTCCAGTTGCATCCACTGGGACTTGGTGTGGAGAGGGAGGAGACGCAGCCATCAGGAGCAGCAGAACTGAAGTCCGGGTTAGATATGCCATGTACCTCGGGGAATGGTGGCACCAGAAGGGCTGAAATCCTAGGCCCAGGCTCCAAGATAGATTCCAGTTCCCTTTCTGCTGCTTCCAGGGCGGACTTTGCGCTGCAAGGCTTTCTACAGTGTCAACGGCTCTGTGTACTGTGAGGAAGATTATCTGGTGAGTGTGGGTCCTGGATCTGGAACTGGCTTCCACACTGGGACCCCTGAGGCTCCATCCACCATTCCCCTATGGGTGACTGCCTCTTGTCTTCTCTCTAGTTTTCAGGGTTTCAGGAGGCAGCTGAGAAATGCTGCGTCTGTGGTCACTTGATTTTGGAGAAGGTAAGAAAAGTGCCTTGAGCTGAGGCTGAGGCTGAAGCTTCAGGCTGGGCCTGAGGGGTGGAATCCGGGACTAACTGGATATGGAGAGGTCAGGGAGGAACCTATTACCACATGAGTCACATTTTTGCCATTCCTCCCCCAGAGCAGCTGTTTACAGTCCTTCCCTCTGCCTGTGAGATGAGCCCCAGCCCCCAGTCCATCCCAGGCTTCTGGGACTCTGCAGGCACAGCCAGCCCTTGGCCTGAGCAGGGAGTGTGGGGTCCCAAGTCTTGATTCCTTTTCCACCACTGCTGGAGATCAATTTTCTTTTCCTTTTAAAGGAAGGATTCGGGCAGGGCATAGTGGCCCACACCTGTAATGCAGTATTTGGGAGGCTGAGGCAGGGGGATCTCAAGTTCAGGGCCAGTCTGGGCTATAATAGTGAGACTTTTTTTGTTGTTGTTATTTTTGTTTTTTAAACCTGAACATGGTAGCACATTTGTGATCCCAGCACTCTGAGAAGCTGAGGTAGGAGGATTGAAAGTTTGAGGCATTTAGACGATATAGTGAGACCCTGTGTCAAAAAAAAAGAAAGAAAGAAAAGAAAAAATAAAGAAGGGCTGCTGATGGAGCTCAGTGGTCAGGCCCCAGTACTACAAGAAAAAGAAATTTTTAAAAAGGGAGTATTTGAGCAGCAATTTTCAACCCTCACAGCCTCACAGTTAAAAAAGGTTTGAAGTAGGATCCAGGCATTAACACCCTACACACACTGAGGCTTGAACCCAGGCCCTTTGCTTGCAAGGGAAGCACTGGACCACTGAGCTACTGCCTCAGCCAGTTAATGTTTATTTTGAGGCAGCATCTTGCTAAGTTGTCCAGACTGGTATTGAACGTTCAACCTCCTACTTAGCCCTCTCTGTAGCTAGGAGTATAAGCCTGAATCACCATGCCTGATTGCACTGATGTGTTTTAAAAGCTTCCTGGTGATCCTAAAATAGAGCCAGAATTAAAATCCACTGGCCTAGATGATCTCTACCGCCTTTTTCAGTGCTTCTGTCTTCATTTTTCGACACCTGGATCCCCTCAAGTAGCATTTTTCTCTGTGAGGACAGCAGGGTGTTGGATGGGTTAGTAGAAGGCACAGAAAACATAATGTATAGTTGGAGAGCTGGGACTGAGGGAGACTTGAGACTCTGAGAGAGACACTGAGGGAGACTTAAGTGTCCTCCCACCTTGCGAGCCAGATCCTCCAGGCAATGGGGAAGTCCTACCACCCGGGCTGCTTCAGATGCATCGTGTGCAACAAATGCCTAGACGGCGTCCCCTTCACCGTGGACTTCTCCAACCAGGTGTACTGTGTCACTGATTACCACAAGTAAGTCTGGCCCTGTGGTGCGGGATAGGCCTGGGTCCTGGGGTTCCCCAACCTCATCTCATTGCTGCCCTCTCTCTTTCAGAAACTATGCCCCCAAGTGTGCGGCCTGTGGCCAGCCCATCCTCCCCTCAGAGGTCAGTGTGGCGTCTTTCTACGGGGCAGCCAGTGGGGCAGCCAGTGCGGCTGCCTCTCAGGAGGGGTGGAGACTTGTGGCCTGGGCTCCCTGGGGAAGTGGTGGTGCTGAGGAATGTGCTCTTCCAAGATTCCCGTGTGACTCTGCTCTTGGGGCCACCACCCTGACCCCAACATCCGGGCCTAGATGTATCTGACAGCCTTGCTGGGCCCAGGCCCCAGAGCTTCTAGCCTAGTGAGAGCTGGAAAACAGAGTAAGAGCCCTCAAGGCTGGGAGATGGAGGTGCCTGGGAGATGGCTCAGTGGAATAAGCACTTCCCTGTCAAGTGAAAGGGCCTGAGTTCAATCCCTGCTTCCACCAAAAAAAAAAAAAAGCTGGTAGATGGGTCCTATGTGTAGAGGGTAAGCCTAGGGAGAAAAGCCAAGGGCCAATGAGAACCTGGACCCTACTGGACCTCCTTGTTCCCAGCTTAGCTTACCTCTTTATCCCTGCCCCCTCCCCACCCTATGCGTCCCCAAGCATCCCCCATCCCCAGTGCCTTACATAGAAACAGGCTGGGCAGTGCTCAGTAGATCTGCAAAAGCATCTTAAAGTGGAGGCTGGTTTACTTGACCTTAGGGAGTGCCTAGAAGCCTTTGTGTGATTTTTTTTCTCTACTGGGGCGGGAGGAGGAGTTGGGGACATCATGCTGCTCTCATCCCCATGGGGTTCTGCATGTTTCAGGGCTGTGAGGACATCGTGAGGGTGATTTCCATGGACCGTGATTATCACTTTGAGTGCTACCATTGTGAGGTGAGCCTTGTGTTCTAGGTTGTTGGCTGTAGTTTGCAATTGGGAGGGAGGGAGGGAGAGGAGAGTTGTCGTGTCCTAGAAGTCCCATTCATCTATGGGAAATGTAGGGCACAGGGAGGGTATCAGGAAGCTGCTGGCCACGGGGGTACACACAACAGGAAATCCTAGTACTTGGGGCTGAGGCAGGAGGATCACAGCAAGTTCAAGGCTAGCCTGGTTTCACAGAGTGAAACCCATCTTCTTTGCTGTCCTCTAACCACTCTCTGTGGTCCTACCTTAGTACTTGTGTCTGGCTTCCCCCATCCACACTAAAACCAGGATTGCTGGTTAAGGGGTGGGGGGGGGTGCTGTCTCATTATTTCTGCTGCAGCAGTGACACCTGGTGCCCAGATGCGGTATTTTCTCATCCATTCTTTCTACCAGCTAAGCCCACCTGCCCTGGCTAGCTGGTCTTTCTTCCCTCCTTGTGGAGTTGAGCAGGGCTCACTCCCAAGAGGTCCTCAGTGTCCAGGGAGCCTGGGCTGAACTGAACTAGGTGTCTTCTTCCCCAGGACTGCCGAATGCAGCTGAGTGACGAGGAGGGCTGCTGCTGTTTCCCTCTGGATGGGCACTTGCTCTGCCATGGCTGTCACATGCAGAGACTCAGTGCCCGACAGCCTCCTGCCAAATATATCTGAGCCTGAGTCACCGCTGCTGCTGCTGCCGCCGTCCTCATGGTTGACGACGTCCTTTGGCCAGTGGGCCCCTCCGGGGCTAGCTGAGGCAAGCAGTGTGCTCTGCAGTGCTGGCAGAAGAGTCCTCTGGAGAGAGCCCCAAGAGCCAGAGACCCAAAGATCCTAACATTCCAAACAGACTGCAGAGGCGGGAGCTGTGAGGGCTGGGTGGGGGACTGGCCTGGCTGTGCAGCGGGCAGGCTCCAGTGCTCTCTGTACGTGGGATCCTGGCCTCTGTTTCTAGGGTATGTTTGTATATCCGTGAGTTCTGTCCCTGGCTGAGGAGAAGAGAGGACGTCATCAGTACTTCATTCCCTTGTACCCCATATGTGGTATCAGACCTAGGGCCCCCAGGCGTCCCCCACAGTGTCCTCTCTGTACCTAGAAAAAGAAGTGGAAACCCCGGCATTTTCTAGGAGTAAGTTCTTATTGTTCCTAAGGATAGGAAAGCTCCTCAAGCCTCTGCTGGGAATGGGGGTCCACTCCAGGTGGGCCTCGACCCACATTGCCTGTTTCTCAGGGACTCATGGGCCTGGGCAGGCTGGATGGAGGCCTGTCCTTGGTTGCTCTTCTTAGCTGGAGGTGATGAGTGGAGTGGCTGTGTGGGTGTGGGACTTGCTGGGTGGTGTGACTGGGAAGCTACAGGTCAACTTACATGCGTAGGTACTGATCCTGGTGGCCAGGATAGGCCTATGTGGGTGCGTTCGTGTAGTGTGCCTTGTGTGTGCACGCAGTGTCACCTCTTGCTCTCAGGTCACTCTTATACTTGGTTCCCTAGTAGCAGCTTACCACTCCAGACCAGCCACCCTTCAGTGGAATTCCAAGTATATCCACTGCATCCCCCAGACTCAGGTTTAGGGGCCCTAGGAGGAGCAGGGTACTTTGCTTCCAGTCAGTTTCACTGAAACTTGAATCCACCTAAAATTACATTTCGTAAAACCAGTTCACTGAGAACGTATTTGGTTAAAGTTCAGTTCACTTAATGAGCAGTTTGACAAAAGTTAAATTCACTTTTGAGGAACTTTTATTTATATTCGTTTAAGTACTCTATTCCTTTCTGTCACACTCCGAGTATTTCAAGAATTTATATCTTCATCCAAGAATTGTAATTCTAATTTCTCAAATTTGCAGCACTTTGTAAATGTAAGATGGCTTCCTACCTTTATATATGTCTTTTTTTTTTCTACATTATGTACTTTTCAAACACTTTAAAAATTTTAAAGGTTCTAGCAATAAATATAATTGGTACCGACATTTTTGCATGTAATTTGTTTCTTAACCCTGTATCCCTTTACAAATTAGGTGCCTTGAGCCAGGTGTGGTGCCACATGCCTGTCATCCCAGCACTTGAGAGGCTGAGGCAGAAGGATTGCCCCATGCATGAGTTTGAGGCCAGCCTGAGCTACACAGTGAGATCTGTGTCAAACAGAATAGATGTCTCGAGAAATGTAATGGAGCTCAGGATGACCTTGGTGCTCTGGTGTGAAGATGCCAGCATCAGC